AAATACGATAAGTCGGGCATGTAGCACCCATTGAATTCTGAACCCAGTCCTTGGCGTTAAGACAGTCAATCCACACTAAATTCATAGACACGATTAATTTTATGTTGGTGGTAACACACGAACACCTCCGAGTACCTGTCGTACCTGGCACCTATTTGGATGGTTCCGGATTAAAATTATGTCGACGAGACAGACTGAGGTTTTTCGTGGGTTTTCATAATTTTTTTCCCAGGCAAATTCGGTGATAATATCTTAAATTAGGCCACGACCTCTTCCCTCCACTTACTTTATGATTTATTATTTATTAATCATCATATAACTGGTCAACTTATAAACTGCGTGTTCTGAAGTACTCACGACTTCGGTAAATAAAACACAAACATAGCAAATAATAATAATAATAATTTCTCCCTTTCATGTCTTTCACTGGACATTTTGTGCTAGCCCAGGGATATATATTTTTTTTCTAGTTGTAAACCGCCGATGAAAACAAAACTTTCTTTTGTTCTTCTCGCCCGTGGCGTTATGTTTTACACAACAAATTTCTACGAATTACGTGGGCAAATGACGTCATATTCTGCGACTGCCCGCATGTACCACTTTGCTTCAGGTTGAACGAAAAATTTTCTACTCCCTCTTCCCCTCCGATTAAGCTGGCCGTAGAAAAAGAGGGAGGTTTGCCTTATCGAACATAATAATCCGGCACCTATTAGCCCCCCAACTTTGTATCTCGTTCTGTTTGCAAATGAGAATATTATTATGATTTTGGTGAGTTGATTGAAGCCATGTTGCATTTCATGTTAATTTCACGCGAAAGCGATGTTGATGCTTTCCGTATCCGGTCCGCTGGCAAGCGCCGTGTGTCACAGATGTTAGCCCCGCACAGTTAACCTTGTTGCAACTAATTGTGATATCCTCATAAACTGTCCGTCTGTTGTGTAAACATGATATTTTTCGCAGTAAATACATCGTTAAACAAGACAGGAAGCGCGTATTAATGCCTACATCACTCAGCGTTTACAAATACGTTTGTGAGTCCGTCATTGGACTTTGTGTTCATTTCTTGCAGATAACGAACAGTGAAATATTACGCCGAGTTCAAAGAGACGTGAATTATTTTATGGTCCACCGATGGTGAAGGCAGCAGGGACATCTGAAACGTTAATAACCTTCTACCAGACTAGACGGCGCAAAAACCCAGAAGACAGCCATCTTCATTATCGTCAACATGTACAGTTAATCTGTCTCTGACTTTTTCCCAACTATGTAATATTTGATTTCCGCAGTGTTAGGTTAGGTTAGGTTTTTAAATATTAATTTGTTTTAGCAGTAAAGCAATGTTAAAACCGTCGTGGATTTTAAGGAGAAAAGGCCATTTCGAAATTTTACGTATTCCATACCCAAGTTCTGCTCTCCATATTGAATTTATAGTGTCATCTATTGTAAATAGTCTTTTTGGTGTTCGACACTTCACTCAAGCACATGCCTAGTTATCGACTATATGGACAGATCGATAGTTATCGACTATGTGACAGATCGATACGTCTTTAATCGATAAGTACAATAGCATTTATCTGTTTACGTGAGCCTAAATACTTAAATTTCGCAGTTTTTAATGTTATTTCTTATAAAGAATATTTTCCTTGTGGTGTAGTACAAAAGAAATAACACACAAGAGAAGAAAAGCGGAAATTCTGTCAACCTAAATTCGTGAGAATTTACTGAAGAATTGAAGTCGTATATCTTGCACCGCTAACGCTAACAAACTACTGAAATAACAGAATATGAAGGAATAAGGAAGGGGGAAGACACTGAACGTTAAAGATACAAAAAGAGGTATCATTCTTCCTCTTTTTGATTTTAGTTTAATTGAGGATGGTAGAAGTTCTTGGGTACTTTATTATTGTCCAAATTATGAAGAAGGCGAGTACGCATTAACAGGAATTATGCCGGATAGAACATTTCTCAAAAAGTTTTTTTTCTCTTTCTCGGTGAAGGAACGAAACCAGCGAAAGATATAACCCAATTTTAGCTTTCTTCTTTAGCAAGATCTACGAACAACGTGGTCAATATTTTTACGTAAGAGAATCTTTTAAAACTACTTCCGTTCAATTTCCACGTTCCTTTTAACTTCATTTGCACTGGCGCTTTTATTAAGCACAAATTAAAATTAATATTTATTTTAAAATCCGACGTTGAAGCTTACATACATTTTTAAACTGGTTGAAGATCATTAGGGTTTTTTTTCAAACGTGAATGCAATTTTAATTTAAAGTCGCAATAAGTCGGCTTCAGATGAGATTTCAGGTTCTCACGGCGACTAATATGAAGATGGCTGTCCTCTGGTATGTTGTGCCGTGTAGTCTGGTAGAAGCTGGCCGACGTCTGAGAGGCGTGCGGCTTACTCACCGCTCTGATGATGGAAGCAGTAAGCGCATCTGAAACATGTGCCAATTTTTATCAGATTACAAAACGCAAAATTACAGAATAATATTTAATAAAGCAGTCCGTACCGCGAAGAAAACACGACACTTCACCATTAAAAAGATCAACTGGTTAACGCTGTTTAAGGAAATAATCGTTGTTAACAGTGAGAATCATACGAAATGTAACTACAAAATGAAAAGCTACTAATTACTGAAGCAGATGGAACATATAGGACTTCAAGGCGTTAATAAACTGCAAATTTTAAAGTCAGAACATCGGAAAGAATTTGAATTTATTAAGGCTGGCACGCTATTAAAAATCGTTTATAATTATATGAATGGTGCTCAAGTCGCTTATTTGTTATCGACGTTGAAATTTTTGTTTTGACTGTAGGTGGGGGGTCGCGTGCTACGTCATATTGACAAGGATCGCTTACTGTATTTGCTTCTGTTCCCATAGCAATTCCATTTATAGTGGCAATAATTTAGCGTTCTGAATATCTGTCTGCTCGTCACATGTGTAAATTTATGTTTACAGTTTGTGGTCGTAATATCTAATACATTTTATCATAGAGGAAGTTACATGCCAGGCAGAGCGCGAGTGTGGGAGAAGAAGCAAGGAGAGATTGAGTTATTTCCTTGGAAACCAACAAATTACGTGAATTTTAACGAGATTTCAGCAAGTCGATGTCATGACCTGTGCTGACATCAAGTGGGAAAACTCAGAAATACCATTCTGGAAGCTTGCATTACGAACATCAGATATCCTTATAAGTTCTGTAACCACATTACTCCACTACTATTACTTCCATAAGTGAGCTCACACACACATACATATATACATACGTACGTGTTCGATTATGATACAAATTTTAAGTTTTGTGGTCTCTAGTGCATGTGATTACTGTGTTAATTTACTTATACCTGCAGCAGGGCGTGAGAAAAGTAAGATTCGGTTTAGACCAATGTGTCATCACCCCGAAGACGTAGGCCAAAGTTTATGGTATTGTAAACTAATCTACTCGTAATATAATAGCCAATGTCCGTCACGCTTATCTGTAGGGGCCAGTTGAGATCAGAAACTGAGTGGGAGGGGTTTGAATTAGGGGTGATGGGTGGTGGCCCGTCTTGTGATCGAAGCACAGGGAAGGGTGAAATGATCATCCTCTTTATTTCTCTCGCTCTTGGGTTTGTAGCAGATTAAGCTGGAACGTGACGCAATTGAACGCGTCAGAATCACTGATTTTCCCCTCCTCAGTCTCCCATTCTCCTTGCGTGACCAGCCTTTCCACTTTCTTCTAATTCGACCCCCGTGTCAATTGAATTTGTAAATGACCACAGGAAATGAGCGTGTGTGTTTGTAAATAAATCGGTCAATGATAAATGATAAGACAGAGGTTATCACGGCAGCCAGTCCGAAGATGGCTGTCTTCTGGGTTGTAGTCTGATGGAAGTTTACTGACGTTTCGGAGGTCCCTGCTGACTTCATCATCAGGGCGATGAGTGAGTGAGTCATCGCCCTGATGATGTAGGCAGCAAGGACCTCTGAAACGCTGGTTAACATATACCAGATTACACGGCGCTACAACCCAGAAGACAGTCATCTTCAGTGAGAAACATGTTGGTGGATTCGTGAGTGGATTGAATGGATGGAGGTAACCAGCAAGAGAGGCGGTGTGTGGCTGACGCAGTGTGCAGAGGATTTGTTGGCCAGACACTGCACCTGAATCCAGACAGACTGCTCCATGCGCTTCTGGTCTTTTCCCCCCTCCCCTCCCACCAATTTATTTTCCTTGTTCTCCAATCCTCTCCTTGGACCACCAGGGGATAATAGCAGCTGGAGGTTAGGTGGTCCGGAGTTTGTTTTTCTAATAGCCGGGGCACCGTGGGGCAGAGGGGTCCTCATCCCTCATTCCCGCAATCCCCAGATGCTCACGTAACGTGGAGAAGGGCTCAGCTAAGTCTCGAAGCCCTTCTTCGCCTTTTTACGTACACCCTAGGCTGAAATATGATCATGGCAACCCACGTCTTTGGCTTCGTTGTCATCAGCGCCTGAAGCCTTCCATGACATAATCCCATCATTCTCTTTTAATTTGTTTTGTTTAACGTTGCACTGTTTAACATGCGATAAACAAAGTGTTAGAGGTCGTAAGTTCAAACGGCCCTTCTCGGCTTACGCGACGCTTTCTAATTCATAACCATCATCATCATTTGTAGAATCAGTAGAACGCATACATGGCCTTTCTAAGAACACTCTCGAGTTGTAGTTGCATGTAATTAACCAAGTACGCAGCGAACATCCATTCATTTGTTATCTCTGAGTTCAGTAGTCTTGGTAGAAATAGCATAAAGCATCAGTGAACAAGATGGCGTAAACAACAGTATACCGTGTGTTAAAACTGTAGCGTATTTTTAGAAACACCCTGTATATAATCTGTGAATAAACGATGATAGAAAAATGTTAAGTCCCAAAATTAATAGATGGTTTAAAAGAGCCGTTTAAAATGACTGGCTGAAAGTTTGCTTTAATATTGCGTTTCCGGAAGCAGGGATAATTTCTGGATGTTGTTTCAGTGTCGGAATACAATGCAGAGCTGTAATGGGGGATGGCGTAATGATCTGGGCAGCCGATCCGTCACAGCGTCGCTTCTGTCTCTGCGAAGTGAAAACGGAAGCCAGTGGGGAATCCCTACAGGGTCACGTGGCTTTCTCGAGCTGTAGGGAACCCAACACCTTCTGTTGGTGAGTACCAGGCTTCTGTTTCGAGTAAGGCGTTTAATAATTTAAAACACCGCGGTAAGTGTCTGTATCACGTACCTTAATATTCCCCACACGGTGTACTAATTGAGTCTGCATAATTCTCAAAATAAACAGCAATTATTTCTCGTGATAACATTGTCCAGTTGATCGTTGCCACGGAGACGAATTGTGCTTTCATTGAGGTACGGACCGGATATTTAAAATTTATTTACACGAGCTTCGAGCGACGCTTATTTACTTTAAATACAGGGTGTAACTTAAGTGACATTTCCCCCGCAAACTGCGCATAAAACCAAAGCGACTAAAAAGACTCAATGTTAAAACGAATAGTTGCGTGTCTGATCGGATTTTTATCGGCGATAATGTTTATGATTGTTATATCTTTCAGTATTTGGAAGTATAATGGAATTGCGTGAAATAATAACACATAGATCTCTGTGTACAAACATATTATATTAAATAATGTGTTTACATTAAAGGGGTTATTTATTATACCATAATCACGTCGTCAGGACCTCAGATATTGCAAGTATCTGCGTAAAACTATACGATTTTGAAGAAAATGATAGGCTATAAAACAGGGCGCCCTGATGATGGAAGTAACAAAGTTCTCAGAAACATCGATAAAGAGCAACCAGCCTAGGT